AAACAGGGTCTCCTGTACCCCAGGCTATCCTCAAACTCATTATGTATCTGAGGATACCTTTGGGTTTTTGATTCTCCTGCCTTACCTCCCAAGTGCTAGGATTACAAGCATCTGTCACTATGCTTGGTTTTATACAGTGGTGCATTCTAGGCAAGCACTGTACCACCTGAGCTGTATCTCCAGCCCTTAAGATGTTTAAAGTAGAAGACCAAAGGGTTGTAGCTGTTGGGAGATACTGAGTAGAGACTTTTTTTTCTTCAAAGTCCAAATATAACCATAGACTTCTGTATGTAAATGACTGATGGTGGTACTTTGTTAGTAAATAGAAAATTCAGACCAAAGAAGAAAAATTGTTAGATCATTGTCCAGAGTAGTCAAGAGATGAGCCATTCTTACAGTGGAGTAGTGCAGCATTTTCTACAGAGGAAAGGCAGAACCAACCCATGGGCACAGATCATAGATGTAGATAGGCAGGTGTGGAAGTCAGAAATTCTCTTTGGTTACTTCTGGTTTCTCTGTGAAAGAGAAATCATGGTATCCTAGTTTGTTTTTTCATTGCTGTGACAAAATACTCTGACCAATACTAACTTGGGGAAGAAAAGGTTTATTCGGCTTACATCTCCCAGGTCACAGTTCATCAGGGAGCCCAAGGTAGGAACTCAGGGCAGGAACCTGGAGGCAGGAGTCAGAGCACAGGCCATGGAGGAATGCTGCTTATTGGCTTGCTCCCCTGGCCCATGCTCAGCCTGCTTTCTTAGGCAACACAGGCCCACCTCCCCAAGTGTGGCACTACCCACAGTGGGCTGGGCCCTCCCCCATCACTCAATAATCAAGAAGATGCTCCCATGGACATGGCCACAGGCCAGTCCAATGAATGCAATTCCCCAGTTGAGGAATTGAGGCTCCTTCAACCCAGGTGTGTCAAGTTGACACTAAAGCTATCTAGCACACATGGTTTGCGGAGGATGAAAAGCTAGAAGTAGTGTTGTGAATTAGAGGTGAACCTTTGAGATGGTGGTCTTGGACAGTGGAGAGTAGGTATTTTAAGAGCATGTGGATGGATGGACAGAATGGCTGATGATACAGCTCAGTGTTCCAGCTGGTACAACTGGAAAACTGGTAAAATCAGAACATTGGAGAGCACTGAAAGGTTTGGAGGTGTGGGTCAGGCAGCAGAGCATCTGACATGGATGTTGTAGAAAGGGGGTGGATAGATTCAAGAATCACAGTGGCTCTCAGCCAATATGACTTCACCCTGAGTGTGTATTTGCAATGTCCATAGACAGGTCTGGTTGGGCCTAGAGGCAGAAAAGACACTGCTGTCACAGAGAGGCAGGGATGTTCCTTGGCTTCCTGTAATGTACACGACACTTCACAATGTGGATTCATCTGGCCCAGACAGCAGTGCCTCCCTGGAGAAGCCCTGGTTTAGGGTATGGCCATAGGAATGAATGGCTGGGGTTGGCCTGATCTTACCTGCGTTATTAGAGAGGAGAAGCAGAGAAACCAGAACTCCCATGGAATGGCGTCTCTAGAGCAGCAGCAAAGGCAGACATTTGGGACTGAGAGGAAGTTTACTTGCTGTCTGAATATTACTTTTTCTGGAACTGTCTAGAGTTATAATTCATCATCTTGCTCTGTGAATCTCATTCTGAGAATTAGTCAGAGGGAGAAAATGCTTTGAAATGGAAAAGCCACTTACTTCCTTTGCTAGACTGCTGAACCTGCTTAGGTTTGGCTAGTCTTTTTGTTCAAAATTCTTGACTTAAAAGTTTTACACTTGGCCAAATATTTACCTTTTTATTTTCTTTTATTTATTTTTTTTATTTTATGTGTATGAGTATTATGTTTGCATGTGTGTAAGTTCATCTGTGTCATGCAGTGCCTGCAGAGGACAGAAGAGGGTGTCAGTCCTCTGGAAGTAAGAGTCATGGAGGGTTGTTAGCTGCCATGTGGGTGCTGGGATTTGAACCCAGATTTTCTGCAAGAAGAGTTAGTGTTCTTAACCACTGAGCCATCTCTCCAGCTCCCTTCCTCCTTTTATTTTTTTTTTAAAACAAAGTCTCATTTAGGTAAACCAGGGTGGCTTCTAACTCTTGATCCTCCTGCCTCAGACTACCGAGTGCTGGGATTACAGGTCTGTGTGGCTGCACCTAACTCATCCCAATTCTACCTTGCACCCAGGTCCTCAGACGAGGTTCTACCCTCACAAAAATTGTTGAGAAGCTTCCTTTACGGGCTTTAGTGACTGGCCTTTGTTGCTCTCTCATCATTGGGAAAAGCTAGTCAAAAATCACAAAGAATGAGTCAGGGTGGCAGACCAACGCTCTTCCTGCGCTGAGCTGGTTAGCTGATCTGCCTTGTGCTTTGTCTTTCATTTTGAACTCCTGTTCCCTGGGGCTGCTTTTCTGACTACCCACAATTGCAAGGAACATTTTTTGTTTGCTTCTGGTCTGAAAGAAGGACTTATTTTGAGGTTTGGACCACAAATAATAATCCATTGTTCTCTATAATAATAATCCACCCTCTTTGAGCAGAAAAAAATCTGCTTGATGCAGTGTGGCTATCAGTTTATTTAAAAGAATAGCCAAAAGTGCCCATTATATCCTGAGAATAAACATTTGCAAGATAGTTGGGAGGAACGGGGGAGTTCTCTTACTCTCCTTGGCTAGAGACACAGTTAAGCCCTCAAGAAGAAAAAGTTCTGAAAACCACTGTCAGTTCGAGTGACAGTGCCCTTCCTTCTGCCCATCTGTTGCATTCTAAGAGTAACCCAAGCACAGCAGATGCTTATTCCAGACTATTTCTTTAAAAATATCTTATTTGAAGATAGCTGTTTTTAACAATTTTTGCTCAAACAAATTTAATCTGTGAAAGTGTCTCTTTTTTGAGTAAAGACTACCTTATTGCAGGACTGTCCATAACAGTCCCGCAGTTCCCTCCCATTGCAGATCTTGAGGAGAAAAGAAAGAATTATTTTAAAATTGCAAATGGTAGACACATTTTAATTAGCATTTTCTGGGCTTAGGCTAACTGAAAAAAATATGAAGGGTAAATTGTGAACCTGACAGAGTGTGATTGGCTGTTTCTAGAGTATTCTAGAAATAGAATGTCCCCAGCACAAGGATACCTAACTATAGGTAAGATTTTACTCACAAAATAAATATATTATGCATTTTTCTGCCTTGAGTTTTTTATAGGAAAAATATTAGTTAAGTAATAACAGTAATGTTATGTATATCTTAGAATAGTTTAATTGCTTAGATATAGATGTGAGTAAAATTTAATATGATAACAGTTGCAGTGTATCAGGTACATATGAGAACTGTTTAAAGAAGTGAAAATATGACTTTCACACCATTAGAAGTAGACCACCAGGGAAGCACCCTGAAGTCCTTCAGTGGATGAATGAATAAAGTGTGGGACAGCCATTCAGATGAATATTATTTATTGTATTAGTTATTTTTCCTATTGCTATGACTAAAATACCCTAACAAAAGCAACATAAGGGAGAAGGAGTTTACTTTGGCTCACAATTCTAGGGTGCAGTTCACCATGGCAGGGAGGTCATGGTGACAGGAGCTTGAGGCAGCCAGTCACATTGCATCTTCAGCCAGGAAACAGAGAATAATAAACCATAGTCCTTAGTTTTCTCTCTCCTTTTTGTTTAGTCCAGGACCTCAACCCATGGAATGGTGCTAACCACAGTTAAGGTGGGTCTTCCCACCTCAGTTAACTAGTTTAGATAAATCCCTCACAGATACACCCTAAGGCTTGTCTCCTAGGTCCTCCCAATTTGACCATCAGTATTAACCATCACATTCATTGACACTAGCAATGAAAGGAGATTCCATGGCACAGAAAGACATAAAGGAAGCCTATGTGGATGTTTTTAACTTAGAGAAGCCAGTCTGAAAAGGCTGCACTCAGTATGATTCCAATTATATTCTAAGAAGATAAACATAGAGAGACAGTTAAAGGTCAGTGGTTGCCAGGAACTTGAGGCAGGACTTAATCAGTGTACACAGAGGTGTTTAGGGCAGTGAATTATATTATGTGCCTTAGTGGGGGATATATGTCATTATAGCCATTTGTTAAAATCCATAGGATTTATATAAACAAAAAGAGTGTTGTTCACAAGAGTGGACCCTAATGTAAACTAGGACTTTAGTTAACAATAATGTAGTAATATTTGTTCATAATTGAGACAGATGCACCACACTAATGCCAGATGTTAATAACAGAAGGAACTGGAAGAGAGGTGGTGGAATTTGTGGGAACTCTTCCACTGTTTGCTCATTGTTTTTGTAAGGGTGAAACTGTTTGCTTGTTCTTGATTGTTAATTTTAAAAAATACCCCAAAACTGGAGCCAAACTAGTAAATAAAATAAAAACCCCCAATAAAAGTTGGGCCAGCACTCGGGAGACAGAGGCAGGTGGATCTCTGTGAGTTCAAGGCCAGCCTGGTCTACATAGTGAGTTCAGGCCAGCTGAGGTTATAGGGAGACCCTGTCTCAAAAAAGACCAAACAAACAAAAAACCCCAAATAAATCAGGACTGCCTTGGTACATGCACATGTCTGTAATCCCAGCATTTAAGAGGCTGAGGCAGAAGAATCCTGAGTTTAAGGCTAGCCTGGACTACATAGTGAGACTCTGTTTTCAAATAAACCTCTCAAACAATTTAAAAAGGGGTTTAGCCGGGCATGGTGGTGCACGCCTTTAATCCCAGCACTTGGGAGGCAGAGTCAGGCAGATCTCTGTGAGTTCAAGGCCACCCTGGTCTACATAATGAGTTCTAGGACAGCTGGGGCTACAGGGAGACCCTGTCCCAAAAAGACCAAAAAAAAGGGGGGGGAGGGGGTTAAAAAGAGTCTAGACAGTGAGTAGTTACTCTGAAGGAAGCCCAGTAACATATCTTTTCTTTGTCATCTCCTGATACATACGTACAGTGCTATTTATGCCAAATCCTGCTTTTAAACTTTGTTCTTCTCTCTTCAGTGACAGCTAGAGTATCAGCCTTGGAGGTCTATACACCCAAAGAACTCTTTGTGGCCAATGGGACACAAGGGAAGCTGACGTGCACATTTAAGTCTGCTAATAGAACTGGAGGGTTGACCACTGTCTCCTGGAGCTTCCAGCCAGAGGGGACTGACAGCACTGTGTCGGTAAGAGGTCCCGTGTTCCCCCGACCCCCCCGGCCTGCTCCTGTATTCATTATTTTTCTTAGGCTACTTTACTGTGTCATGTGACCATCTATTTCTGAAATTAGACACTTCAAGGCTCTTCCGTTGCTTCAAGAGGTTCCAGGAAAAAATTAGTTCAGCAAGTCCTAAATGTAGCTTATTTCTTCTTCTTTGAATTTATTTTCCTTGTCTGTCCTCCCCAGTTTCTCTCTGCCATCAAATTCCATTTAGAAATTGATCTGTTCCCCAGAGCAGCCCCTAGTTGACATGCTGACTCTAAATGATGTATCCTGCCTGCATCTTTGCAGCTTGCGTTTCTCCATTTTTGTTTCTGCTTTTTTTTTTCCTGTTTTTTTGAGACAGGGTCTCCCTGTAGCCCCAGCTAGCCTGGAACTTGCTATGTAGACCAGCTGGCTTTGAACTCCCAGAGATCCGCCTGCCTCTGCCTCCCAAGTGCTGGGACTAAAGGTGTGAGCCACCACACCCAGCTATTTCTACTTCTTTTATGGTGTACACACACACACACACACACACACACACACACACACACTCCCTTCTTGTGTAATTACGAGCATTCTTGATTTAGCTTTTGGTGTGACTCAGCAAAATTTACTGGGCATTTAGTATGCAGTTGCTATGTAAGTCTTCAATAAAAGTTCCTCAGTGTTTCCCCTGGGAAAACTTAGTCTATGTACAAGATGACTATAGCAATGGAATAAAAACATCTGTTTGGCCTAAATGGCTTCATTTTTAAAATGTGATATTATCAAAGCTATGTACTTTCTGTTAAAGTAACTCTCCCAGGGGCCTGGCAAGATGATTCAGAGGATAAAGTCACTTGCAGGTCCTGGAGATAAAGTGTGAGGTCCTGGGTTCAATTCCCAGACCCGTATGGTAGAAAGTATACCCGTAGGTATACTGTGAGACACACTAGTGTGCACACATGTACACATACACACACAAATAAATACATAAATGTAATAAAAATTTAAATATAATAAGTCTCCCATGCAAAAGTACCATTGTGCTAGGTTGAAACATATAACTGATTTCCAAATTTTTGGGTGGATATATATCCTTCAGGAATTATTAATAGGGAAGAACTCTAAACATGATGCTTGGGAAGGACAGAAAGTATAAATTTGTTTAACTCTCTTACTAGGTCTAATCGGGTATGGTTTTAAGTAAGACCTAATGTAGAATGCTTGACCTGAAGTTTCTACCTTGGAGAAGTTAAGTAAGGGTCACTACAGCAGAAATCCAAACACCTGTCCTGGGGGAGCGGGTACTAAGACATCTGCTTCTGTAAATAGAGAGTCATTGTGCAACATGTGTGCATTCCCATAGGTTGAAATTAATCACATTAGTTTATTTAATACAGCTCAAACAAGTTCTTCAAATTTGAGGATTTCTCTTCAAAGTCTTATACAAGAGTGGGTGTCAGGGGCATTATCCAGTCTGTGGAAAACAAATTGGCCATGAGGAAGATTCCCTGAGGTAAAGCTCTTTATGCTCAGAATGTTCCTTTTACTCAGGCTCAGGCAGGTTTAGATCACTCTAGGCCTCATGTGAAGGACATGCTGCATTTCTGATTTAGCAGATTGGCTTTTGCTCTTACAGGATACCATACATGGCTTTCCTGGTCATGGAACTGAGTCCACATGTCTAACATTGAACTTCCTCCCTGTTTCCCTTTTTGTTCTTTTGTGATAGTGTTCTGTGAAGTAGTTCTGTGGGATTTGTTGGACTTGTTCTTTCTTCCCCCTCCACTACCATTTCCCTGTGTTTGGCTCCCTAGAAATGAGGAAGTTTGCTGATTCTTCCTTCTGTGAGTCTAGCATCTAGGTTCTCCTCTGCCTGGACTGTGCAGTAATACCTGCTTTCTTCTCCTATTTCCGTTCTTTCATCTTTCGGTCCAACCTTCACATGCTACCAGGTGTGTATGACCTTCAGTAGCTCCTTTGCCTTGCTTCTTTTGCCCTTTTCAGAAACTTCCCAGTTTGGGCCAGGCATGGTGGTACATACCTGTAATCTCAGCACTGAGGAGGCAGAGACAGGAGGTTACTGAGAGTTCAAAGCCAGCTTTTGGGTCCAGGCCAGCCAGGGCTACATAGGAGACGCTGTTTGAAAAAAACAAACCAAAACAGAACAAAATGGAGGAGGAGGATGAAGGAGAAGGAGTTGTTTCCTACTTCTAAACTTTTGCCTTTTAATTTGTATCCCACCTTTACCTCTTGCTCCTTTCATAACACACCTCCTGCCTCTTTTTAGCTCTGAAAACACTACATACATTATCTGGGCCACTCCTATAATATAGACCTTTAATATGTCAGTTTCTCTTCTTCATACTGAATATAACATGTCTTGAGATGAGATGACCTGTCTTAGGTCTTTGGTATTCCTTGTAGCATCAGTTCAGTGGCATGCACATTAAAAAAGGGAACACCTACCTGTTAATGAGATCCAGTATTTTGGATTGGGGGGGGCAATTTTTATTCTTTCAATTCTGTCTCTCACTGGATTGACTAAGGCATTATTCACAATTTAGTTCAGGCGTAAATCCAATTCCTTCAGAGGACACTCAGTCTAACTAGGGGGGCTGACCAAGAAAACACATGTACAAGATGTAGCAGTGGGCCAGGCGTGGTGCACACGCCTTTAATCCCAGCACTCAGGAGGCAGAGGCAGGTGGATCTCTGTGAGTTCAAGGCCAGCCTACATAGTGAGTTCTAGGACAGTTGGGGCTACAGGGAAACCCTGTCTCAAAAAAAAAAAAAAAAGATGTAGCAGTGGAAACCATAGTGTGGGCTCTCTGTGAGTTCAAGACCAGCCTGGTCTACATAGTGAGTTTTAGGACAGTTGGGGCTACAGGGAAACCCTGTCTCAAAAAAAAAAAAAAAAAGATGTAGCAGTGGAAACCATAGTGTGGGCCAGCATTGCTGATTCAGAGTACTGGTTGGGGAATTTTGAGGGATAACATGAGAAGGGAAGGGAAAACTAGATGATGAAAGGTCTTGCTTGCTAGGGTGAAAGTTTATTATTTCTTTGCTGGCAAAAAAAAAAAAAAGTGATGGATTTGAGTAAGACATGATTAACTGTAAGAGATTAAATAATAGAAATAACATAGGCCTGAACCAAAGCAGGGCTTGAATTCAGTCTCTAAGACCTGTGACCTTGGATGACTCACTAAGGTTTCCTGAGCCCCACTTTCCTCAACTGTGAAATTCCATATAGGCAAGTATCACCTTGTAGGGTTGTTAATAGCACTAGAGTGTTCTTGAGAGATGGTTTCATGAGTCTTTCACGTTGTTGCACATCTTGTAAGCAGAGGAACAAGCTGACTTACTCTGGACTTTAACATATGTATTCGTGGGCTGGGTGTGGTTCATGCCTTTGATCCCAGCACTCAGGAGGCAGAGGCCGGCAAATATCTGTGAGTCTGAGGCCAGCCTGGTCTACATAGTGAGTTCCAGGCTAGCTGAGACTACAGGGAGACCCTCTCTCAAATATTTTTTTATTTATGGTGTGTGCGTGCATGCATGCATGTTGCAGCACGTTTGGAGGACAATTTGCTGGAGTTCCTTCTACTATGTGGATTCTAGGGATTGAGCTCAAGTAGACATATAAGGCAGGCACCTTTCCACTCATAGCTCTCGTGGACTTTCTTTTTTCTTCATGTTTTTTGGGAGGGTCTTCTTGAGACAGGGTCTCCCTCTATCCCTTTTTTCTTTCTTTCTTTTTTTCTTTTAATTTTTTGTTTGTTTTCATGTGGGGGTGCTTGGGATGGGGGCACATGTTCATGTGGGAGACCAGAGATAGATAGTTGGGTATCTTTCTCAATCATTCTCTACTTTATTTACTGTGAAAAGAATTTTTTAAAATTTATCTTTGTTTTATGAGTATTTTGCCTGCATGTTATAAGTGCACTTGTGCATGCAATGCCCAAGGAGGTCAAAAGATGGCATTGGATCCCTTGGAACTGGAATTGCAGATGGTTGCTAGCTGCCACGTGGATGCTGGGAACTGAACCCAAGCCCTCTACAAAAGAGACAGTGCTGTTAACTACTGCGTCCTCTCTTCAGCCTCAGAAAAATCATTTTTTTAAGAAAAAAAAACAATGTTCTGAGGTAGAGCCTCCCTGAACCTGGAGCTCACCAATTTGGCTATTCTAGCTATCCGGCATACTCCAGAGACCCCCTATTTCTGCTCTCAAGCACTGGGACTACAAGCAGGCTGCCATGACTGCCTGGTTATTATTGTGGGTATTGGGGGTACAAACTCAAGTCCTCAAGCCAGGCATGGTGGTGCAAGCCTTTAATCCCAGCACTTGGGAGGAAGAGGCAGGCGGATCTCTGTGAGTTCAAGGCCAGCCTGGTCTATATGGTGAGTTCTAGGCCAGCTGGGGCTACAGGGAGACCCTATCTCAAAAAGCCAAAAAAAAAACCCAAAAAACAAACCTCAAGTCCTCTTGCGTGCACAGCAAGCACTTTATCCACTGAGCCATGTCCCCAGCCCTGGACAT